AATATGAGATTTATTAGTCAATCACCCATTTGAAAATTGTCATAAAGTAATTTTTTTTTTTTTACAATGAATAAAAAATATTATGAAATTAGTAAAAAGTATTTTTGGTTTTTCAAATTTTTTTTTTAAAAAAAAATCTTTTCCTTAAGCCTCTGGAGTACTTATTAACATAACCCTTTATATATAACAATAAGTTTACTAAATCATTTATCATAATTGTATTAGTTGAATGAATTCATTTTATCTGTTTCCAATACAGTAACAATATATCATATGGTAAATTAAATTTAGTATTACATTATACACATTCTGTATAAAAATGAATTTAATAAATAATGTATAAAATTTTTAAACATTTATAATACAAGTTAACAAAACCCATAATTTGTAGCCCAAAGTTATCCTAAGGTGTCGTTTGGGAAGAGCTCATTTGGGCTTTTTGGCTCTTTGAGCCACAAAAGACAGAATAGGCTATTTGAGCCACAACAGACAAAACATCACATCTAACCCATAATCATTACACTCTTCTCTCACAAAAAAAGTTAAAAAAGTCAAAAAGTCAAAAAATTAAAAAATCCTTCCCAAACTAAACTTTTGAACACATACTCAAATAGTTAAAAAAGTCAAATAGCTAAAAAACCAGTCCACTTTTCATACGGAGGCTAATTATGATTAGTGTTCATTGGCTGCAAAGAAGGAAAGTCTATCTGAGGTAATCATTATGTCCTGAGAATTTATATACCAAAGTTGATTTATCTTGTGATGTAATAACTATGTTGGTAACAGAAATAATTGGTGTCATCGATTAATCAAATACAGTTATAAAAATAAAATGGTCAACAAGTAAAACAATTTTTTTATTTTTTAACTTTTCCCTTTAAGAAAAAAAAATCTAAAAATATTTTAAACAAGAGGCTTATCTTGACAACAATCTAACTTGACAACAATCACCCTGTTTGGTATAACTTATTTTCAGTTTATTTCAGCTTTTAACTTAATTTAAATTATTTTGATGTGTTTGGTTCAACTTAACAATACAACTTATAACTTTTTGTAAGTCAAAAATTAACTTACCTTTGAGTGGGAGAGGAGAAACTTAATTTGTAAGTCAAAAATCAGTTTATATTTAGAGCTATAAACTATAAGCTGTTAAGTTATAAGTTATAATCACTTTCCCACAGCTCTATCAAACGGGGCCAATGTAATAATTAAAAAGTCAAAAACTCTTTTTTCTATTTTTTATATGTTTTCTTATAAAAAAATTTAAAATTAATTGAAATAATCAACTTTTAAAATATAGTGTGCCAATATATTGGTCAAATTTTAATAGGGAAAATCAAATACGATTGCAAGCAAACAAGTGTAATACTATAATTTTAGTGCGGGAAAGCTGTAGGTTGGGTTGCCACATATATATTTTTATTTACTTTTCCCTTTAAGAAAAAAAAAATCTAAAAATATTTTAAACGTGAGAGACTTAGCCTTATTTTGACAGCAACCAAAAATAATTAAAAAGTCAAATTTTTTTATATAAAAAAAATTTCAAATTTAATTAAAATAGTCAATTACCAAAACAACCTGAAAATAAAGTGTGTGAATATATTGGTCATATTTTAATAGAAAAAATCAAACACGATTGCAAGTAAATAAATAAGGGTAATTCTGCAATTTTAGAGCGGAAAGCTGTAGGTTGGGGTTGTTGCATAAATATTTTTATTTACTTTTTCCTTTAATATAAAAAATATAAAAATATTTTAAACGTTAGAGCATTAGGCTTATTTTGACAACAATTTAAAATAATTAAAAAGTCAAAAACTATTTTCTCTATTTTTTATACATTTTCTTATAAAAAATGTAAAAATTAATTAAAATAGTCAATTTCCAAAATGACCTTAAAATATAGTGTGTGAATATATTGGTCAAATTTTAATAGAAAAAATCAAACATGACTGCAAGTAAACAAGGGTAAAAATTAATTAAAATAGTCAATTCTCAAAATGACCTTAAAATATGTGTGTGAATATATTGGTCAAATTTTAATAGAAAAAATCAAACATGACTGCAAGTAAACAAGGGTAATACTGTAATTTTAGTACGGGAAAGCTATAAGTTGGAGTTGTCACATAAATATTTTTATTTTACTTTTCCCTTTAAGAAAAAATATTTAAAAAAACATTTAGACGTGACTTAGGCTTATTTTGACAACAACCTAAAATAATTAAAAAGTCAACAACACTTTTCTCTATTTTTTATACGTTTTCTTGTAAAAAAATTTAAAAATTAATTACAATAGTCAATTTTCAAGATAACCTTAAAATATAGTGTGGGAATATATTGGTCAAATTTTAATAGGAAAAATCAAATACGATTGGAAGTAAACAAGGGTAATACTGTAATTTTAGTGTAGGTTGGGGTTGCCACGTAATATTTTTATTTACTTTTCCTTTCAAGAAAAAAAAATCTAAAAATATTCTAAGCTTGTTCGACAGGCTTATTTTGACAACAACCTAAAATAATTAAAAACTCAAAAACTCTTTTATCGATTTTTTATACGTTTTCTTATGCGATTGCGATGAGAGGAAAGGAGAGAAGGAGAACGAGGCCGGGAATCTCCACTGGGTAAAGCTTTGGGAAGTATTGGAAGATGAGGAGGACTGAGAGTCGGATTGTTGGGGATGGCAGTGGGTCAGATGATGAAGATAGTATAAAGGACTGAAATTTCTCTGTTGTATGTTTAGGGATCTTAGACATCAAAAAATAATTTTGTGGATCTCTTCCATTATGAAAAGTGGGAGAGGGACCTTAGACCAATTTTCCCCAAAAAAAATCTAAAAATATTCTAAGCTTGTTAGACAGGCTTATTTTGACAACAACCTAAAATAATTAAAAACTCAAAAACTCTTTTATCGATTTTTTATACGTTTTCTTATAAAAATAAAAACATAACAATTAATAAAAATAATCAATTCTCAAAACAATCTTAAAATATAGTGTGTGAATATATTGGCCAAATCTTAATAGGAAAAATCAAACACAATTGTAAGTAAACAGGTGTAATATTGTAATTTTGGTGCGGGAAAGGTGTAGGTTGGAGTTTCCACGTAAATATTTTTATCGGTTTATTACACTTTATATCTTTAAACTATCGCTAAATTATCTATTTAGTTTTTGAATGTCGACTAAGTCTCTGACGTATATAAATCAATCCCAAACTATCGATTGAATCCCTTAAATCCCTGAAGTATTTTATTCAAACTTATTTACTGCCTAAAAGGATTATCAAAATAAAATATATGCCTATAAATATTATAAATTAGTAAAAGACCCTATCTAATTAAAATTTTATCTGTAGAGAAGTGCTATTATTTAAATTTTCTAATTCTACTTATTCAGTATATCTAATATTCATATAATTTATTGGCAAGATTAAAAAATCATACTCTAACATTAATTTAAACATAAAACGAAATAAAAAATCTTTTAAAGGCAAAATAAAACTTTCAAAGATTTTTCTGCAATAAAATCTTAATTGGGGAGGGTTTTTTTATTAATTAATAATACGTATGGACATATATTTTATTTTTGTAATCTTTTTAGGAACTAAATAGATTTGAATTAAATATTTTAGAGATTTAATAAATTTAATTGATAGTTTGGGGACTAAATAGACTTTAATTTATATACTTTAGAAAATAAACAGATTCAATCGATAGTTCAGAAATTAAATAGATAATTTGACGATAATTTAGAAGTAGAAAGTATAATAAACCCTATTATTATTTACATTTCCCTTTAAGAAAAAAAATCTAAAAATATTTTAAACGTGAGAGACTTAGGCTTATTTTAATAACAACCTAAAAGTTAAAAACTCTTTTCTCTATCTTTTTATATTTTTTCTTATAAAAAAATATAAAAAAATAATTAAAATAGTCAATTTCTAAAATAATTTTAAAATATAATGTGTAAATATATTGGTCAAATTTTAATAGGAAAAATCAAACACGATTGCAAGTAAACAAGGGTATTACTGTAATTTTAGCATGTGAAAGCTCTAAGTTGAGGTTGTCGCGTAAATATTTTTATTTACTTTCTCCTTAAGAAAAAAAAATCTAAAAATATTTTAAATGTTAGAGGCTTAGACTTATTTTGACAATAACCTAAAATAATTAAAAAGTTAAAAATTCTTTTCTCTATTTTTTATACGATTTCTTATAAAAAAAACGTTTAAAAATTAATTAAAATAATCGATTCTCAAAATACCTTAAAATATAGTGTGTGAATATATTAGTCAAATTTTAGGAAAAACCAAACACAATTGCAAGTAAAATAAGGGTAATACTATAATTTTAGTGTGGGAAAGGAGTAGGTTGGGGTTTGGCGCGTAAATCTTTTTATTTACTTTTTCCTTTAAGAAAAAAAATCTAAAAATATTTTAAATGTGAAATACTTTATTTTGACAACAATTTAAAATAATTAAAAGTCAAAAATTATTTTTTATATATTTGTTTTTATAAAAAATATAAACATTAATTAAAGCAATCAATTTCTAAAACAACCTTAAAATATAATGTGTGAATATATTGATCAAATTTTAATAGGAAAAATCAAGGGCAAATTATAAACACCCTCTCGAGATTTGGTAAAAATACAGATTTTTCCTGAGATTTGAGAAATTACATCCCGTCACCTGAGGTTTATATTTTCATAACAAATTACCTCTTGAGGTTTTTATTTTCATACAGATTCTCCTATAATTTTTCCTAATTTGTTATGAAAATTTAACTCTCAGGACAATTTGTAATTTCTCAAATCTCAGGAGAAAATCTGTATTTTTATCAAATCTCGAGAGGGTGTTTGTAATTTGTCCAAAAATCAAACATGATTGCAAGTAAACAAGGGTAATATTGTAATTTTAGAGCGGAAAAGCAATAGCTTGGGGTTGCCGCGTAAATGTTCGAACACTGAGGAGGGCCTCCTCCCCTATATATGTCGCCGTCGATGTAGACTTTCTACTTGCCAAAGCTCTCTCCCCTCTTCTCTCAATTTTCTTTCTCACATTTTTCCGTGATAATTTTCCAAGCCCTTCATTTAGATTTCCGTAATCAGAACCCTCCGATCCTAAACAACATGAAGAAATCAGGGATCCTGGCCGCGGCCTCGGTCGCCGCAGCTTCAGCCACGGTGATCTCTTCTCCGCCGTCTTCTTCGACCCTCGTAACCAACTCCAAATCACAAAGATCTCGCGAGGTGAGTCTTGTATTTTTATTTTTATTTTGTTGTTGTTGTAGGAATTGTTAAGAGTTTCTAGAGATCAACCTGTTTGGTTGCTTGGAAAACAGGGAAAGAAAAAACGGAGACTTGATAGCTAACTAACCACCCTTGTAAGATCCCTCTTTTGATTCCTTTTTCCTCCGCTTTCTTGGCCACCAAACAGAGATCGATCTTGTAAAAACCCAATTCATAGTACTCCTTGTCACTTCTCTGTGTACCCACAAAGATTGATGAATCTCATCTTTCAGTGTGTTCTTGCTGGAATTCGTGGAAATCAAAATTCTCTCTGTTTCTCTCTACTCTTCTTGAAATTCAATTTTTTATATATTTGTTATTTTTCTGATGTTTTGATTTTTTTTTTTTTAATTTTATTGAAGGGTGTTTCGAGCGATAATAGTGAGAATTCAAGGGCTTCTTCGGATAAATTTGCACCCAGATTCGATGGACTGAGATTTATTGAAACGCTTGTCACGGCTCATAGATAAGCTTCATTTTGATGACCCCAATGTCTATTAGGCTAATCTCTCTCTCTCTCTCTTAATTGTAACTATTACAGTAACAAAGTAATCAAGATTTACAACGTTTTTGGTAGATTATGAGGGAGATAAATGAGTTGAATTGTACTGAATCTGATTGTTGTTGTTGTTTTTTTTTTTTTTTTTTTTTTTTGGGGTTAATTCCAAAATTTTGTTTTGGGTTTTTTTTTATAAGAACGACTATATACTATATGCACATTATAATTAAAGAAAAATAACATAATTTTGTATTTTTTGAGTCATAATTTAAAAAAAAAATGTCATAACCAAACAATATATGAGTCATAATTCAAGATTTCATGAGTCATAATTAAAGAAAAATTAATCATAATTAAAATAAAAAATAACATAACTTAAGGGTGTTTGTGGTAAAATTTTCCATTTTTTATATAGGATTTTTTCTTCTCCGTTAGAGGTGTATTTTTTTTTTTTTGTGTTCAAGACTTTTTCCAAATTCATTAAGAAATTAAGTGCTTGTTTAGTTTTGCTAATGTCATTCATTTTTCATATGCTACTTTAATATTTTGAATGTTTAATTATAAAAATAAAAAAATAAGAGCAAAACATCCCATCATGTGGGACCCACACCACTTTAGAGCTATTAGTGTTCATTTTTTTAGTAATCTCACTTACTTTTGGTATTCGAGTCTCATCTCAACTTGGTGAGTTTTTTTTTTTTTTTTCTTATTGCTTTTTATTAATTGTAAAAAAATCTCTTTTTAGGAACAATGTTCAATTTTAAATTTTCATAAAAGAAAATTTTTTATAATTGTTTTAGTTGATCATTCTTATTAATAAATCCATTTTATTTTATTCTTTGAAACGGGAGTGAATTAATATGAGAATGAAATTGATAATCATAGAAAAATTATATACAATTCATATTGAATGATATGATACAATTATGAATCAATGTAGTGAACATCTTGATAGGTACCTACCTACTAAAAAAAAGAAAAAGAAAAAAATTAGACCTAATAAGTGCATCATTGATTCTGTGTATAATTTCTGTTTATTTGTGTAGCATCCGTACCAAAATAGTTTGTTTCATATTTTCAATGCATGTGAAAAGATCATTGCATACTTTTTTTTAGGAAAAAAATCGGGACTTCCTTTTCTTCCCACCTCTTGATCCCTTATCTCTTTTATTGGTCAGATTTTTTTTTTTTTTTCTTCTCCAATCATCACTCGTCACGTGTGTGTCAAGTGGTGGGGATGATGATTGAAAGGGTCTCTATCAAAGCCCACTTTTTTATCATGAAGAGTTTTAAAGGACTTTTGAAGTGCCATCTCATAGATAAGCTTCATTTTGATGACCCCAATGTCTATTAGGCTAATCTCTCTCTCTCTCTCTTAATTGTAACTATTACAGTAACAAAGTAATCAAGATTTACAACGTTTTTGGTAGATTATGAGGGAGATAAATGAGTTGAATTGTACTGAATCTGATTGTTCTATTGTTTCTTTTTGTTTTTTTTTTTTTTTTTTGGGTTAATTCCAAAATTTTGTTTTGGGTTTTTTTTATAAGAAAGACTATATACTATATGCACATTATAATTAAAGAAAAATAACATAATTTTGTATTTTTTGAGTCATAATTTAAAAAAAAAATGTCATAACCAAACAATATATGAGTCATAATTCAAGATTTCATGAGTCATAATTAAAGAAAAATTAATCATAATTAAAATTAAAAATAACATACCTTAAGGGTGTTTATGGTAAAATTTTCCATTTTTTATATAGGATTTTTTCTTCTCCGTTAGAGGTGTATTTTTTTTTTTTTTGTGTTCAAAACTTTCTCCAAATTCATTAAGAAATTAAGTGCTTGTTTAGTTTTGCTAATGTCATTCATCCCACTAATTTAGGAGCACCAATAGACCACTAATGAAGTGGAAATTTAAAAAAAAAAAAAAAAAACACAAGAGCAAAACATTCCATCATATGTGACCCACATCACTTTTTTTATTTTTTTAGTGATCTCACTCATTTTTGGTATTTGAGTCTCACCTCAACTTGGTGAGTTTTTTTTTTTTTCTTATTCCTTTTTATTAATTGTAAAAAAATCTCTTTTTAGGAACAATGTTCAATTTTAAATTTTCGTAAAAGAAAATTTTTTATAATTGTTTTAGTTGATCATTCTTATTAATAAATCCATTTTATTTTATTTTTTGAAACGGGAGTGAATTAAGGTCAAGTTTGACAACTCAAAAATAATTCATCTTTTTATCTTTCTTTTTTTTTTATCACGTCTCCTCTCTACTTTTTTATATATTTTTTTATAAAAAGATAAAAAGTACACTTATTTAGGTTATTTCAGACAACTCCTAATATGATAATCAAATTGATAATCATAGAAAAATTATATACAATTCATATCGAATGATATGATTCAATTATGAATCAATGTAGTGAACATCTTGAGAGCATCTCCAATCCATCCTCTATATCTTCAAATATGGAGAATCCTCTCCCAAAAATAACTCCAACCCATCCTCTATATCCTTCTCCATTTGGGAGGAGGATGAATTGATCTTCCAAATATAGAGGGAGGATGAAAAAATAGAGAAGACTCTAAAACACTATTCACTTTATATTTCTTAATTATATTCGAAATAACTTTTAATGTGTAAATTTAATTTTTATAAAAATGACATCAATAAAAAATATAAAATCATACCTTTAAAATGAGTATAACATTAAATATGTTTTACAAAAATTTTAAAATTAAATATTTATTAATGAACAAAAATTATTTTTTAATTGGAGTTTGAATGAAGGAAATAAAGGTTTGTGATTGAAATTTGAATGAATAGTGATCTCCTTTATATTTACTTTTTGAATAAAAATATTATTTCTATCCTCTTGAGAAGAGGATGTGGTTAGAGATGCTCTGATAGATACCTACCTACTAGACCTAATAAGTGCATCATTGATTCTGTGTATAATTTCTGTTTCAACAATGATAGAGAGCATTAATTTTGGAACTCTAAAAGACCACTAATGACATGACACTCAATAAAAAAAGAAAAAAAATACAACACCAAAGTCAAAACATCAAATCATTCTTGATGAGATCCACTGCCACGTCATTAGTGATAGCACTAATTAGTGCTCTCACTCATTTTCCTTTCTGTTTATTTGTGTAGCATCCGTACCAAAATAGTTTGATTCATATTTTCAATGCATGTGAAAAGATCATTGCATACTGTTTTTTAGGAGAAAGATCTGGACCTTTTTTCTTCCCACCCCTGGATCCCTTCTCACTTTTATTGGTCATTTTTTTCATTTTTTTTTTTTTTTTTTCTCTTCCAATCACCATTCACATATGTATGAGGTGGTAGGAGTGATGATTGGAAGGGTCTCTATAAAAGCCCACTTTTTTATCATGAAGAGTTTTAAAGGACTTTTGAAGTGCCATGTGGCACAGTGTGATTACTCAATAGAGCCTTACTTACACACAACAAATTAAGAAAATAAAAGATAAAAAAATCAATGAGCTTTGAGTTTTGTTTTTGTTTTTTTTTTTGAGAACAGGTAAAATATATTAAGATTAATTCTTAAAACCATTAACACCATGAGCTATGAGTTGATTCATAATTGGTTGAGTGAATAATTTCTTCATCATGAGGAGATTTTTCTTTGATTATTTATCATTTTCCTATCACGTGTGTCTTTGATTGTTAATGTTGGACTTATGAATTTCTATTATTAAACTCTTTTAAATAATTGATTGTTTAGTCTGTACAAATATAAATATTATTTTATCAATCCCAATCTCAATCTCAATCCAAATCCATTTGTAAGGTTGCAATTGGGAATTGACTAGAACACCACAACGTTGTTGATAAACTAGGAGAACAGTGTATTTTGCCACAAAGTGGAAGAAAAAGAACAAAGTGAAGTAATAGTGTGAGATTGTTGTCTCTGTCCTCAAAAAACATTGCTTATGAAAGCACAACTTTGCAACTTGAATTTTAGTCAAACTAGTAGTGAGAGTGGCATATGTCACCGAAAGCATGAAAGGTACAGCCTTTGCCTTTCACATGCATTGCACTGTCATTCCCACACACAACAAAGTTCCCACCTCAACAACCAACGACAGCATCTAAATCATGGTCAAATTCAAACTAAACGAAAAATTTATAAGATTTTGTGGTGTTAATTATGAACTATTGTACTGTAATTATGAAATAGTGTATTTAATTATGACATTTTAAAGTTCTATTATGAATTTTCTGATTTTATATTTTTTATTATGAGGTTCTATGCTGAGCATATTATAAACTTTTATGGTGTATTTTTTTTTATAATTTTTTGTGAAGTTAATTATAAATTATTATGGTATAGTTCCAATATATATTTATTATACTATAATTGTGAAAGTGCATCTTTGCATTTATTTATTTGTTTATCTTTATTTTCCACTAACAATGATCACATACGTCTTTGCCCTTCTTTAATTTTCTTTCCCTTTCCGATGGCCCATTTGCTAGTTGTTTCTTCTTTACTTTATTGGAGTGATCAGGAATATTCTTAAGACACCTCTCTTATACTTTTGGGGGAAATATCAATTCAGGGTAAATATATAAAAATATTTTTAAATTACTGAAAAACTTTACATAAATTAAAGTATAAAATCATAATTTTTTTTTTATTGATTAGTAATTAATTTTCGAAAAGACCACTGCGTTGTGATTGTCCTTAATACTTTTAGGGATTTTTGGAGGCCAGTCCTATTTTCAAGGGTCATTACCTAATATGTCCTTAACGGAGACTCTTTTACCTATAGGTCTTGAACATTTTTATTTATTTTATTTTTGCTCTCAGATTTTTATACTCAGATCTGAACATTTTTGGTCCTTCAAGGGTTATTACTCTCTCTCTCTCTGCACATTTCTCCACCAACGACCATCGGCATCTCCACCGTTGCCGACCACCGCCGCCTCCATTGTCGTCATTGGCGGCGATCTCAATTGGCATCTTCTTCCATTTTCACCATTGCTTCCACATCCACCGACGTCTTCGCCTCCACCGCCACGACGTCTTCACCTCTACCTCTACCGTCGTTGCCAACCATTGTCGCCTCCACTTCCATAGTCATCGTCACCTCCACCTCCATAGTCGTCGTCGCCTCCACCTCTAGATCTAGGCTCTAGGCTCTTTGCCGCTAGGTCTTCTCTCTCTCTGTGTATATTAGGGAAGATTCCAATGATAAATCTGTTTAAACCAGTGATAAATTTGTTTAAACTAATGATAAATCAGTTATAAATTTGTTTAAACCAGTGATAAACCAGTAATAAATTTGTTTTAATCAGTGTTAAACCAATGATAAATTTGTTTAAACTAGTGATAAATTTGTTTAAACCAATAATAAATTTACAGTGTTGAGTCTAGAGGTAAAAATGAAAAACACTACTTGATTTTTTTGAGTAAGACTTGTTGGCTAATAAGACCGGTCCATAGACCGGTTCGTGACTCCCCCATACTTTTAATATGTCATAAACAGTAAAGATGGTGTTGGGCCTCATTGATCAATTGTGTAGTCCTTTTTTTCCTATCTCTACAAAGAGTTATTGCTGCAATTTTAGCTCACTCAAGTTTTTGATATTTATTCATAGGTATTATTGGAAAAAAAAAAACATTTTCCACGTGCCAATAAAGGGTACCTAAGAGCGAAAATCATCAATAATGTTTGAAGGGTACAATGTCGAACACAAACAAATGGATAATTAAATAATGTTCTTTGGTCAGTTTCAATTAAAGAATACCAACTTTACAATGAAGAGTTTTGAAGACATCACAAGAAGATATATATAACCTTTGATGCAATCACAATTTCATGAAAAAAAGAAAAAGAAAAACCCGCAAAAAGAATGAGCAGATTGATACAGGCACACTAGTTTTCGATGGAAAATCATCCTTCAAAACAACACGAATAGTGACATCAAGAATCCAGCTGTGAGCATCAGCATGAGGGATTGAGTACATTTTGGTGGAACACCACTTTTGGCGATAGCATTTTTGGCAGCTTCAGTTTCAGCAGCAGAGCAATTGAGACCATCCTTCCCTTCACGGCACAAACTGGCAAACAGTGCAGGTGGGTATTTCCCGTAGATGTTTATGTAACTGAACATGGTTGTAGCACAATCACTTTTCTCGTCATTGATCTGATCTGCGAAAGGGCATGCGAATTGCTTGAGGGCATTACAACATGGAGTGGCTTGGTAATTGGGTCCTTTACACTGGCTTGTGATGATTGTGTAGTTCTGTTGCTCAAAGTTTACAGAACAAGCTGCAAGGATGCAAAACAGAATATCATTTTACCACTATCAGAGCTAACTCAGCCTTCTAACTGGCATAATGACATGCATAAGAAGGAAAAAAAAGACATGTTATATAAAACACGTAGGAGCCAATTTCTTGGACAAAAAAAAAAGAAAAAGAAACAAATAAATTTAAATAAATTTAGATAACCAATGACAAATACAAGAAACCCCCAAAAGTGTTTGAGCCTCAAACAAACCCACAGAAAGCTTTAACCGGGCTTAAGGAGAGGCCACTGAGACCATCTTCTTCACTTTTTAGGCATCGGGTTGAAGCCGATCTGAGTGCAATGCAATGTCCAGACTAGAGAAGTTCATACAAAGAGCTTTTCTTCTAGTTTCTTGAGATTCCTTTACTGTAAACCTGCCTAAAATATGGGGTGCATAGACTACCTTAATTTGATTTGATGATATTAAGTGATAGTTGTGACGGATGTACAAGCTGTGTGACTACCGACCATGGCCTATTTCCCTTGATGCATGTTGATTAATTCGCTTAGATTGTGTTTGGATCATGGATTCGAGTAAGGATTTGAAAAGATAAATAAAAATGTGAGGGAAATATGAATTAAATATAAGCTAAATTTTTTCTCAAATTTCTCTCATCTTGCCTTTTCCTTTTCCAAATTCCTATTCAATCCATTATCCAAACACAACCGCAAGATTATTATTGGAGCTACCAAAGTGTTGGAAGCACCCAAGTTGTTGCGGAGCAATTCTGATCATATGTAGGTTACTTTTATTTCCTATTTTGTGTCTCTATTCTTCATCCTTTTTTTCAAGGGGGCAAGGAGGAAGAAGGGCTGGGTACAGGGTGGTTGAATCCCTCACTTCCAAAAATACATAAATTCTCAACTAGAAAAGCCTTGTTTTAACAACTTGTTGCCTGCTGTTCCAATTTTGTATCCACATTTTAAGATTGTTACATCAAAGGGAAGAGTAAACATTGCTTTTGAGGGCATGACCTTGAGCAATAGCAAGTGTTATTCGCTCCTAGCATTGTGTCACGGGTTCAAGTCATGGATATCAGCCTCTCTACAAGAAAGAGACAGTGGAAGGCTACAACTACCTCTCCAATTCCTTTCACCGAACATTAGACCACACCACCCCTCACCTCACCTCTCCAATTACTTTGCCACACATTAGACCACTAGCGTAAAAGATAAAAATGTGACATAACATAATCCATGCTAGCTATGTTCTGCATAGTGCAAACCCATCCCTAGTAACAATTGTTCTTAAATCTTAAATATAGATATCAAGCTTTCATTTTTATTTATTTATTTATTTTTCTCTCACCATAACAGGAGGGGAGATGATTCATGAGAAATTAAAAAGGGAGATCTATTTGCCGCAGCATACAACTCAGAAAATGGTCCATAATATTTTTATATGCTATGATTCAAAAAACAATAATAGGAAAATGCAAAACCAGAATTAATAAGAACACATAGTAAAAATACGGGTTTATTAAAACCACATTCTATTTTCTCACCCAAAAACCGAATAGCATAGGATTCCAAATTGTCGTTAGTTTTCCCACATTTTCACAACAATCAAAACAAAGCCGAACGTTAAAGGGATGAGAAGCAAACCTCCTTTGGCCTGAAGGAGGGTACGGCCTGTCGATCCACGAGATTCAAAGTCATCATCTGCATATATATAATTCATCAAGATTACAAATAATTTCCAAAAAAACAAAGGGTAAAGACAAAAACAAAAATTGAATAACGCGAGACACTTTCCACTGAATTTAATGCAATTTTTATAGTATAATTTCAACATTAAACAATTACCCAGAACACTCCTTAGCATTTGCTTAAAAAAATCAAAAATAAAAAAACTTAATAATTGATATATTTCATGTAAATGTGAATCCACAGAATAAATAAAATACCGGAAATGAAGGATGAAGAGGCGAAGGCAGTGAGGAAGGCGAAGAGAATCAAATAAAAGCATCGAATGTCCGACGCCATTTGGTTCTCTGCTTCGGAGGGATCGAAAACTCTTACGGTTTTAGGATCAACCCTTATACGTTTTGTTTTTTGTGTTCATCATTAATACATGTTTGGTCTAAAAATAGTATATAAACTAGAGACAGAAAAACATGTACATAGAGAGAGAGAGAGAGAGAGAGAGAGAGAGACGTGGAGAAAGAGTTGCAGAAAATTTTGGGAGGCCATGGCTATGCAACTATGAACCAACCGTGGGTGGAGCAGTTGCTAACAATACATGCATATATATAGGCTTCGGTTCTCATTAGCCCATCTCCAATATTTAAATTTGTGTAAAGTTTTATTTTATTTTTTGTGTAATTACAATTTTTACTTGTATTTTTTTTTTAATTTAATAAAAAGATTATTTTATCAACCAGTATCATAAAGGTACAGTTTTTTATGAGAAAGTATGTCATAAAAAATATATAATTATTTTTAACTTTGATAATCTATGTTTTTTTTTTTTTTTGGACACTTTTTCATAAATTTATTTTTGCTTTCATTTGGTTCACATTATTTTTTTATATTCCAATAAGTCCCACATTATTTTCTTATGTTTATGAGTGACATGGTTACTGCGTGGGTGATTTTCTAACCATACTGCCCGCCTAGTAATCAGCTGGAGAGCACCGGCAGAATAGATGGTTTCAGCTAACCTGCAACAGAAAGAAAAGGCTCCGGCGGTGGCTCTTCCACCCGGGGACACTCCGACGATCAAGTCAGTATATCTCTTAAAGATAATCAAGTGCTAAACTCACTACTCAAAGTATAAAACTGCGTACCTTAGACCCACGGGGGTGCCTCTCTTTTATAGTTCACTTAATCCTAGTCCCATTAGAAGCCTGACTTCTATGGATTCCAACTCAGTATTTACTTTGGACTCTACAAGAGATAAAGATAAACTCCCTAAGAGATTTATTCCCATCTTGACTAAGTCTCCTCTTCATTCTAGGACTCTGGTCCCTTATCCGCTTATCTCGGATTCCGATATCTTCGGAGAAAACCTCGGCCTTGCCGAGATAATCTCGGCGTCTCGACCAGGACACGTGGCATCTCGGCTGACACGTCGGCGTCACCTTGCCACATGTTGGTACTCAGAAAATATATCCCCACAACTGCCCCCTGGATTCTATTACCTTGGCATTCTGAGGTGATGGAACCTATATCTGTATTTTCTTTCAGTAAATCGGCGAGATCATTCATTTCAGGCCGACATGCTTGTTCTAAAAAATCAAGATTTTTAAAGACCTTCTTACGCGCATGAGCTGTCATGCACTTCAACCCAACCGTTTTAGCCACGCGTTTCCCTCTTACTGGTCCGTACACGTGACGCGCCTGTTAGTCGCGTCTTTCTTCATGTGCGCCGTCTGACGCCCTCGTTCTTCTAGGCATATTGATTGCTTTTGCCGCCGTTTCTGTTTAATCAAAAACTTTTCCCTTTTTTTCGTCTCTTCACTTTTGCATCTGATTTCTCTTGCTTTTTCTCTCTCTAAACTCTTTCTTTCAAATCCGCCATTGCTCAAGCTCCAAGCTCTATAATTACCTTTCGTTCTTCTTGTGAAGTTTTCGTTGTCTTCGTTACATCTGTAACTGTCGTCTGACTTTGGCAATCTTCATACCGGCTTCATATTTTCTGGTAAGCATTTGTTTCTTTCTGTTCCAGTTTTTTATCTTTTCTGGAATTTCTTGTTTACTACTACTTTGCTTAAATAATCAATTTGTAAATCATACATCTAAATGCGTTGATTTTGCTTTTTGCGTATGCCCTGAATACATGTACTGTTCTTAGTTCTTCTTGCACGTCTTGCTACTGTTCCTAGCCTTCAACCCTTTGTATTTTTCATGTTCTTGATAGTCCATCTCTGTTCTTGACTTTGAAACTTCGTATTTGTTTTCTGTTTTTTATGTCTTTTCCAGATCTGTGCCTTTGATCTTCATCTTGATAGCTTTAGGTTTGGGATTTGTTTGTGAAACCCACGATTTAGGGCAAAACTGAAACATTCCTTACAAATTTCTGTAATAGCCCAAACCTAGGTTTTTGCCGAGGTCCCATCAAATAGAAAACATCTTCTTTATGAATTTCAACCCTTCTAATTCAGGCCGATATCATGGGTATGTGGAGACATAGGGTAGATACCACGACCAAACTTGAGTACTTTAGGCAAGAGTTCTCCATCCCTGCCGATGTCCATCTGAGACTGGCTGGGGATGATGACTCCATCATGCCTACAGAAAACGCCATGCCCCTTCCCATTGTAGCTTTTACTGAGTGCGGACTCCGGCTCCCACTCAATATCCTTTTTCGCGAGATTCTTCATTATTATAAGTTGAACCCCATGCAACTGGCAATCAATTCTTATCGAGTGATTTTTGGTAATATCGCCTTAGCTAAACAAGAAAACGTTAGGATCACCCTAGCCGATATACAGTATTGTTACACCATGTGTGCCCTTAACTTGAAAGAAAAAGGCTACATTTACTACTTTAAGCCGAGGTCTACAGAATTCAAAATCATAGCCGACATCCCAAACTCCAACAAGGGGGCTGGAGATGACTATCTCATTACCTCGGGAAATTAGGAGTTTGCTCTAGACGAGGACATCCATCTCTTCCCTCTTCCCCGATCAGTTTTAGAGGGCAAGGGTAAGAGCCCAATATTCAGCTTTACTTGTTTTCTTTCGAAGTCTTAAATACTTTGTTTGTTTCTGACGTCTGTTCTTTTTGTAGCTGTTCGTCAGCCACCAATAGATTTTCGCCAATCCTTTGTCCCCAACAAAGACTTGAAGAGACTTCTGGATTTGCCAATTCACAAAAGAAAGGCGCCTCTGCTCCTTAATTTCATCCCAACTTATAAGTCAACCTTGCCCGACGTCCCTAAGAGGAAGAAAAAAAGCCTCTCTCCACCTTCCGCTACAACTCCATTGATTGTATCCACATCACGAACAGATCAAGGATCAACATCTGATCCAGCAGATCAGCCATCTTCTTCAGCTCCATACTTGGTTCCAATTGCAGAACAAAAACATCGGCGACGACTTGTCCTTACTGCCGAGATGGGTCGCCCTAAGCCTATCGCAAAAGATCTTCTGGCCAACATTCCATCATCTATTAATGAGCAGCCAACCCAAGCCCTTCCTTCATCGAAGCTAAAGAGAATAAAAAAGGCTCAACCAAAGCCTAAGGTAACTCAGGTCGAGTCCGAAGATAGCATGCCTATCTCAAAGTTGGCGGAGAGCGACAAACATCAACCCTCTGTTGGGAAGAGGCGCTCTGAAACTCAACCATCAGAGTCCCCAAAATCCAAAAAGCCGAGGTCTTCTTCCACGGCGACTTCGGGGTCCAAGCAGAGCGGTGCCCCTTAGACCCCAAAGATTACTCTGGAGGACAAACCAGTCCTGACTATTGACAGTGCCGATGATATCAATGTCAGCGTGGCACTTAGTACCGCTCTGCTTCTGCGAGGGGATTTGGAGCGAAATGTCGGCTTTAGCGAGTATGAGAATTACGCCCTGATGCTGCAGCACTCCATTCAGGTAGATGTCTTCTATTTGGTAATCGTCCTCTTTCATACTTTGAATATTCTCTAACACTTCTGTTTTCTTTCAGGCCATCCAGCATGCCCACTCATTTTCAATGCAGTCTTTCGAAAATCAGGAAAGGCTTGTTGAGATGAAGAGGGAGTTCTCTTCCCTCCAAAAGACCAACAAAGGTCTTCAATCGAAGATGAAAAAACTAGAGGACCAAGCCGAGGTTGCAATAAAAGCCCAGACCAATGCCGAAGAGAAGGCTGAGGCCGCTGAAGCCATCAAGAAAGTGGCTGAGTCTCAACAGAGAGAAGCAGAAGAAAAAATGACCCAAGCTGAAAAAGAGCTTCAGGAAGCTCTGGCCACTAAAGACACCGAAATCAAGGAAGTTGATGAAAAGGCCTATAATCAAGGCATGGCCGACGTTACTGAGGCCTATGAACTTCAAATGAAGCAGGCATGCAACAAGGGTTTCACCCTTGGTTGGATGTCTCTTCTGAAAAAACTAAATGTTCCTGATGATTCGCCTTTAAGACATGCCGACAATATTCCTCTTCCATTTCTTCCAGCCCAACCCTCAAATCAAGACGTCGGCGAATCTGAGTCTGAGGATGCCGATGAGGAAGAGGATGAGGCTTTGGTCAGAAAATCCAAAGATGCTGATGGGGCCAAGTCTCCTCTTCAGAATGAGCAAGTTCTAGACTTGACTCAGAATAAGGAAGGTGATGAGGTTGTCTAAGAATCTGTTCCCGACATCGCACCAGCCGACATCCCTTCTGAGGTCAAGACTGTTGAAGAAACTCTTCAAGAAATTGACGCCGAGATAGCGATAGAGAAGGATGCCGAGGTGGTATCTGATCTTCAAACTCAACCAACTGCTGGGGAGGAGTCTTAGCTGTTTATCTTTTTCTTACTTGTATTTTCTGATTTCTTTGTCTTGGAGAACAATGTATGCTTTTTGTATGGCCGATGTGCCCTTTAGTGAATGAATATAACATTTCTTTTCTAAGTGCTTGCACTCCTGTCTTTTCTTTTTTGTCTTTGCATGATTCTATACTTAGAATATTCTGCACATGTACACTCTTCCTCGTTCGTGTAACCTTCTCAGGGTGACACACCTCGGTTATGGCTACCAATAATGTACCTCGGTAAGTTTCTTGTCGTTGGTTTATCTTCAACTTGTAAATTGCTACAAATTTCGACAAGTGAAGATAAACAATTATCTCGGCTTAACTTCAACTTGTAAATTGCTACAAATTTCAACAAGCGTTAAGCATTACTTTCGGTTTAACTTTAACTTGTAAATTGTTACAAATTTCAATAAGTGAAGATAAACAATTATCTCAGCTTAATTTCAACTTGTAAATTGCTACAAATTTTAACAAGCGTTAAGCATTACTGTCTTCTCTCTGCCCCCAATGTGAACCTGAGTTCTACTTGGGTTCTCATTATTTTAAAAACAATCAGTATGCATCTTTTATCAATTCACAAGTCTTTAGAGAACTCTGCTAAAATTTTATTGATGATGTCGGTAA